TAAAAAACTATGTTAGCAGCTACGATGTTTTTTTCAGAGAAAGTGTTCGAAGGTTATAGCACACAAGGAATTCAATGGTAAAGGTCACAGGTTACAGAAAGCAATGGTATTTCCAAAAAAACAAAATGTTGGGTGTGCACATACTTTTGAAACACACTGTAGTTCTTACGGCGAGTACTGCAATTGTGTTGTGATCAAAGTTGATGAATCAGATAGCTTCAATCAATCAAAAAGGATCATGTGAGAAGTCTGCTTCTCTCTCGCTCTCGATATCATCATGAATTACGGGTAGCAGATATCCCTATGGAGCCCCCTATACGATGACATTTATTCAAAGACGCTCCCATCACATGGTGGCATATGATACGGATGAGTTCTTCTATTGTCAAATTTCTGAGGTTGATGAAGTCTGTCGCAATAGCCGAAATTCGTCTGTGAAGAAACCTGGCTATTGGGGAGTTGCTTCTCGTTCTACAGTATCACCCTGATACCCCGTTCCATTGGTTGAGTTCCTCACTAAATACTTCGTCGAAAAAAACTGGTCTTCGAGAATAGTAACCGTTCATCGATGTCGACGCTTGATTCATTCACCTCAACGCACCCGTTTTTCAATCTAGCACCTCAGAGAATTGAGGATAAGTTAAAAAATAATAGTTGATAGTTCCCCTCAATTTTACCGTGGAATTTTTGAGAAGAGAAAACTGGAAACTAGGAAAAGATCTCGGACATATCCTGATCCCAATACCTAATGACACTTTTATCCAGAGCTGAAGGGAGACACTCCTCTCATCCCCTCCCACACTCTTATAGAGCATCGTGCCACACTATCATCTGATCTACTAACGAAACAGAAAGAGCCGCTGAAGTATAGAAAACGAAACTTGCTCATTTTATTCTTCATAAGCTGCACGAATCACAAATTCTAGCATAGAAATTTACAGACTTTCCACTCACAAGCTGCAAGGCTCTCCGACATGGCCTGTGCTGTACGACTCGATCCCTGTGCAAAGGCCCTACAAGCAACGTCTCGGTACTCACGCGAAAACATTCTCGGCGTCGCTTGCACAACAAGACATCATCGTGGGCACACAATTTGACGAAAACAGCCGCTTACTCTCCAATCTACCTTCCGCTGGATGGAAACTTCCACCAATCCGTCCCACTAGCGCTAACGCCAGACGCTTCTTCTCCAACACAGGTAACAGTTTCGAACTGCATAGTGCCAAATCTTGATTACACAATGTCGAAGATGAGACCTCAACACCCAGCCTGCGATCATGCGCTTTCTCTCGGTGATTTCTTCTACAGTTTTCGTATTGATACGAAAGTTACTTTATCGCAGTTTTCACCGTAAGGGAACGGAAACGCCTATGACTCGTTCCAGTCCGCAGACAGATATTAGGCGAAACCCTATGGTCCAATCGATATTCTTCTCTCACGTTTCACTCGCAATATAAAACTCCAGAAATTATAAAAATTTTCAAGTATTTGAAATGTCCAAATGTTTTGAGAAATTCCCAAAAGCAGCGAAAGGCTCCCAAACGGAGCTCCAACCATTGCAAATATTACAAAAAAAAGTTTGTTTTGTTTGTCTTCAGTTGACTTCAGCTAGTTCACCTCAGGCTGCAAAAAACATCGGAGTAGTGAAGATCCCAAGAGGCAGCGACGATGCCTCCCAGAGGAAATTAGCCGAGATCAAGCCCACGTGGAAAGAATAGCTCGTGAGGCCAATACAGTTTTTCCAACAGTGGATTGCCCCACGACGAAGTTTCACCATCAGGTCACTTCGTAGGCGAGGAGCCTCGAGGGCCCTGGACTAGTATTTAATTGGCTGCCAAACACCACGGCTAGAGGAAGTACCCAAGGTGTTCCATTTCGAGCAGGTGAACGTATGCTATTCCGACTACTCCGGATTCATCGACTGCGCATACCATTGCTTATTTCACCTTGTTGGCTCGAGGTGAACTTGTCCCGATTTTACAGATACAGTCGGCTTTATGCCCAAACGTTCTCTCACAAATGCCATCTTCGTAGCTAGAGAGATGGTGAAGGAGTTTCGACTCTTCCATCAAGCCTACATAGATGTGACGGAAGCTTTCAATCGCCTACAGCGACAGAACACTCCGGAAAACGTCTCAAAGCGCCTAACCTCCGTGACCAAGTACATTTACGGTACGAGACATTTACGTGACTTAGCGGAGATTAGTATCGAGCTCCTTCCTCTTTCTACTGAAGGCTGACGCCGTCACAAGAAACCCGTGCGGTGAATAGGAAACAACTCGGACAAGCTGCATCAATGGCAGAAGATGTTAGCAAAGATGAATATTGGCTGAAAAACAAGTACAGAAATCTCGTGTTTCTCAGTTTCAAGGAGTGCGCCGAGCAAATTCTTGCTCTGTCAATTCAATCAGTGTCAAAACAATTCATGCTTATTTTACAGAAGCTGCTGAAAGATCACGGTAATTTTGAAACCTATAGAACAGCCAAGCCACCGATAGCAGGGTGAATAGTGCTTGAGGAAAGGGTGGAAAGGAAGAAAAGGGGCGACAATCCACTAGTGTCGACAATGCTTGAATCAAAGGCACATTTCACGACAAAGTTTGGGTACGGAATAACGGATAATGAAAGATACAGTCTAGAATAGTGCAAAAATAATGAGCAATGCACAAAAAACGGCGTATGAAAGGAAATACAAGGGCACAAAAAACTATTAGAATTGGAGAGGGGGTGGAGGGTTGGACGAGCTACAGACAAAAAAATGGCGCAAAAGGAGTGTCCGGGCGAGTTGGCGCTTGCTCAGCCTCTCTGACATCAGACGGCAGGGTGTATAGAGACTGTGCTAGAGCGCAGAGATGGTTTGATGCCCAGGTATTGCACGAGATCGAGACAGGAGACATCTCACCCGAACCCGGATCTCCATCCCTAGCGCGGTCTCTATGCAATGTGCGGTCTGGTTTCAGGGACGCTGAGCACAAAAGGGCGCTGATACCCTTTCGTCTGACGTGACGAGCAGTATCAGTCGAAGGGCGGGGAATCCGGGCGATCCGGTAGCGGAGCTCCCATTATGCCCTAGCCGTTGAGTTTCTGGACACGAGAGCATTCCTCCTGTTACCGTTGGGGGCTACTGGGTGTTCCTAAAGTGAGAACTCAGATACAATTTTTATCGTGAACTGGGTCTTCAACTCTGCTGCTCAACAATATCCTGGTGCGCACCGCAAGCTGGCTGCCCCGAGTGCGGAAAAGAGGTGAGTTCTATCTGGAACGATGAAGATGAGGGAAACTCACCTGAGCGGCCACGGCGCGCGACTTCACAATTCGCAGCACCATATTCGCGAACAGGAAAAACCTAGAAGATCACATACAGCGCTGGGGGAAGACAATCGGAAATCGACCATGTGCTCGTAAGAAGATCATCATCAAAACTGTAAAGGATATGAAAGTTCTGCCTGGCAAAAATCTGGCTTGACAGCACAGACCTCTCCTAATAGTCATAGCCATCAAGCTTATCAAGAAACCGAACAAGAATAGGTAGAAGGATCTACTGGTATAAGCTGCCATCCAAAGGAGCGATCCAGCCGACCTGAAGCGACGCTGTGAAAATCATTCCAAGATAAGGGAAACGCTGAGGAAGACTCGAGGTGCATCCGAGGGGACAATAAAGCAAGGTTCTAGAAAGTCCAGCGAGCTTTGAAGCAGAAGAAAGCGGCCTACAAGCGTTGGCGACATGAGCTCCAGAAGCACTAGCTGCCTAAAGACCATCCAAAAGTCCCCCAAGGCTACTAAAGCAAAGGATGTGGGAATGTACATTTTATATGACAAACTTGATAGCCAAGAAGGAGAGAAGTTCGTCTTCCGTCTGATGAGAGCCGTCACCGGGAATGAAATCCGTTAAAGGCACATTTCACGATAAAAATGGTTTCTGAGTTCTCCTCTTGGAAGTACCCAGTGGCCCCAAAGGGACGCTGTTGAGTCCCAAAAGTCAACAGCTAGGGCACAGTGGGAGCCCCGCTGCCGGATCGCCCGGATTTCCCCCTCCCCCCCCCCCCCCCCCTCGATTGAAGTCACGTCAGACGAGTGTCGCGGCGTTACAGGTTGCAATATTCGCTCCGGGACCCACACTCCATCAGTTGATCGCCGAGAAATGAGTGATGTTTTTGTGCTGTCCCATTACTCTCTGTTATTCTTTTTGCTACTGCGATCCCTTATTCAATTTCCTACCGCAGAAGGCTGAAAAAGGTGGGTTGTTTCTGCTGTTACTACGGTTTTCTTGGTAACCTGTGCTTATAGGTGGACGAATTTTTGCTTACCGTAGTCACCTATTCGCACCACGACTCACACGTACGACATACATTGTATAGCTCGTCCAGTCGCCTCATTCTTTTTCATTTTTCTTGTCTCATTCTCGTCCAGCCCCCTTTCTAACGATCTTTCGGAGCCTTTTTTCACTTTGGAAACACCAATTCACGCAGTTTCTTCGCCTTCATGGCACTGTTTTTTATTTTATCTTTCATTTTTTGACATAATCGGAATACCCGAAATTATCGTAGACTGTGCCTTTAAGAACAATGAGGGTGCAGTCTTCAGGAAGCCTGGCGAGGTGCTACGAAGAAGAGAGAAGAAGAAGAAAAAGAAGAATAGGAAAGAAGAAGAAGAAGAAGAAGAAGAAAGAAGAAGAAGAAAGAAGAAAGAAGACGAGGAAGAAAGAAGAAGAAGAAGAAGAAGAAGAAGAAGAAGAAGAAGAAAGAAGATGAAGAAGAAGGAAGAAAGAAGATGATGATAAACTTCTGTCGATCTCACTTTACAAGAGGAAAAAATCGAAAGGACTAAAACCAGCTTTCTTCCTAGAAAATACCAAACAAGCAGCGTGCGTTCCATCCATTAAAACCCTCTGAGATTTGCTTGATAACTCATATCTCGAGGCTTCATATTAAAGTTATCGGAGACGGAACCGAACAAACATTGATTTACTGATCTTGAAGTCGCTTTGAAAATTTAGTTGCCCGACCACAACTCCTTGCCACTACAACAAGCACCACCGTGAAAGCACAGACTCTACACTCTCCAGCCAAAATACATGAGGTAAAATGGCTTTTTAAATATTTGATTGTGTTTGAAAGGCTTTTCCACTTAAATGTGGGTTTGGTGGGAGCACGTCAGGTGCTGAGTAGTTTCAATGGCTGCACAATGGCAGAATTTCTTTCTAGCAGGAATGTAGTCATAAGTGAATGTGAGAGGAAGTGTGATTTCTCTACTGTATTAATACATTGCTTTTGTGTAGTAGACACAGCCAATATTCAATTTAAATGCTGAACATGAAATCATTACCTTAACGAAGATTTAATTATCATGGATATCCACTTTTCTTTTCCAAGGTCCCGAAGCCGCTTAAAAAGCTGTCGATCGGAGAATATGAAGCAAGAGCGACGGTCACAGCAGCAGGTTGGTTCTGATTCTGGTTATCATATTAGAACAAAGAAGTTGAAAAATTGCAAGCAATACTTTTACACGGAATGCGGGGTTGGAGGTTGAAATATCTTGTGGACCTATGTGATTCACCACTCTCGCGAGCAAAGTTAGAAACTGAATCACAAGAGCGTTATTTGAGATAACTCATCGTACACATTGCATTTGCACCCAAATAACAACATGATTTTAATAAACTTTCTAATAAAGTATTTTGGTTTCACAATAAAGTAATATCTTGGCACCTATTCACTGGGCCCGTAGAAAAGAAGCGCCAGTAGTAATAAATGGATCACTATTACCATAGCAACTCCTTGTGATGGGTCTTGAAATTAAGAAACCGAAATCAGCATAAGTCACTCAGCGTAGAACAAAGGAGAAATGGTCTACTTATATCATCACAGAACCACAAAAACCGTGTTTCGTGCGAAGCAGACAGCGATCCTTGGTGGGCTTTGAGGAAAAAGTCATCATCGGTGTCGATCTACGATCGTGTTTAAAGCACTGCCTACATATCAGCACGTTCTTCTGTGCAAGTGTGAATTACAACGAGCTCGAAAAGGTGACTCTGCTGTTGATACATTGTTCTAACCCGCCCAAAGTGATTAAGTCTATTAAGCATTGCACTCTGAATGGTGGAAATCTTCACCTAAACGATGTTCGACTGAGAGGTTCAACTTCGGATTATTACGAAAATGAATGCAGTCCAGTACAAAACTCTGATCAAAGAGGTGCGTTTTTACACAACGGGACAAAATCACAACGAGATATCCATGTAATTCCGTCCACACATTACAGCTGAATTCGGCTTCTCGTGGTGAGGAAGCCTTGTCACTTGTTTGACGAACAGTTCATGTCAACGGCAATGTGGAGGGTGCAGATTGATAATGATAAAAACGTTGCCCCATCGGCTTTCGACGTATGCACTGATCCGAATAAACCAGTTGGAAAGATTATACCCTTCGATAGACCCATTTTTCGCCACTATACAACGCATCGGGTATAAAGGTCGAGCCTCTGGGCGTCAATCAGTCCCGTCTAAGGGATGCGCCCATGCATTCGACTCCCATCCAGAATCGTATTGAGTGCGCATGTAGCCTATACAATGACTTGCAGTGGCCAGCCGATGTACAAGTCAGTCCTTTTATCCTCCCAGACGAGTCTGGTACCAATTAACCGACCCCGGAGGGAAGGAAGGCTTACTTGTCCTAGTCGGATATCAATTTGGGATTTGAACCATTGACCATGCGTGTGAGAAAGGGCGCCACTTGCCACCACACCACCTCCGTAACCTGATATAAACACAGCTTAAGAGAAATGATATACGATAACGTTCACTATCGGGCTCAGGTAGCCAGAATGGATGGGTTGCATCAAGAGCCGGAATGGTAAGTCAGTGATGAACGGGGCCATTGAACGGCTGCTATCTACAATATTTGATAGGAGGCAAAGTAAGTGCTGTTGAACATGTTGCACAACGAAAATTAGAAACAGTTTCAGAATGCGGCATAAGTCACGTACATGAATGAATAGTGCTGATAAGGGAGAAAGGGTGCGCAAGGATGTAGTCTACTATGTGACGTTCATTCATCTACGAGAAAAACTAGGCCCTCTTACACCTGCTTTCTTTCTTTGTGTAAAAATTCAGTCTCTGGAAAAAAAAAGGCTAAAATTTGCAAGTTCAGATATCAGCTCAATCGCAACTCGTTCAACAGCAACAGAACAATGTTTTGATATCTTCGCTCAATCAATGCTGCTCAATCTCGAATCACACCTTGAAAGAGCTCCTTCATTGGGTAAGCTGTACCTTACTTCCAGAGTTCATGGCATACAATATTTGTTTCACAGAACAATGTAAAGTGGAATGTCTGAAAAGAACTGTATCTGGGGGCCCACCATGCGGCGCTTTGAACTGGATTCCCCACATTCAAAGCTGTATGCTGTTCGAAGTCGGTTACGATAAACGACTGATAATGCCAAGTTCTCATGGTCAATTTCTCGTGAACAAATGTGCAGGTAATGTAGAACCGAGATCCAGATATTCTTATTTGATTGTTCTGCTCGTTCCATTTTTCACAAACGTTTCTCTATCATGATTTTCACACAAAAACTAAAAGCAGGTAACGTTCTGAACTAAAAGCGAGAGCATCGTAATGACATACCAGGTGGCGCGCTAGGGGCTCTCGCCATGAGAAACGGAGCCAAATGAGCCGATTTTCATTATAGACCTTTATCGGATTTATGAGTTTACGCTCAAACCCCGCCTCCTGTGGGCGGAGTCTCGTCCTGCCGCCCACCATAAGTGTTCCCATCCTGTCACCTGTACTCCTACGAAATTTGAACGCTCTGGTTACACTGGGAAAGGATTCATAAGTTTCCGCTCAAACCCCGCGCTCAAACCCCACCCTCTGTGGGCAGAGTCTGGTCCTGCCACCGTAAGCGTTTCCATCCTGTCGCCTGTACTCGTACCAACTTTGAACTTTCTAGGTCCATGGGGACAGGAGTTATGAATTTTCGCCGAAACCCCGCCCCTTGTAGGCGGAGTCTGGTTTTGATACCCACCATAAGTTTTCCCACCATGGCGCCTGTATTCCTACCAAGTTTGAACTTTCTAGGTCCATGGGGACAGGAGTTATGAATTTTCGCCGAAACCCCGCCCCTTGTAGGCGGAGTCTGGTTTTGATACCCACCATAAGTTTTCCCACCATGGCGCCTGTATTCCTACCAAGTTTGAACTTTCTAGGTCCATGGGAACTGGAGTTATGGATTTTCGTATACAAATGTAAGAAGGGATACGAGGTTCGTGGCACGCTCCGCCCACAGTGGGCGAGCCTCCGCTGACGTCATTTATGCTGGAGACACCCTACAATGCTCCTCCCATATCAACTTTTTCCTGCTCTGTTGGCTTTCTCCAAACCGAGTTATGAATGTTTTCATAAAGTATTGCATTTTTGGAGGACGCCCCGCCCATCGGGCGTGGGTCTCCCCCGTTGGATCCAACTTACCAATGCACACCTCTAACCACCTTTAAACCCCAGTTTTGAAGCCGTCTTGTGACTGAATTTGAAATCATGGTCCCCACTACAGTTCATTTCGATGCACGCCACGCCCACTGTGGGCGGAGCTCCGCCAAGCTGATGTGTGCTTTATACCTCTCGGGACATGGCCCACCCATTCCACGCTTGGCCCGGTCTCTCCAGGCAGATTTAAAGGAGTTAAGGAATTTCGTGACAGACATACAGACAGACGACAGACAGACAGACGACAGACGAAGCGCTTTATAGTAAGTAGGATGATGCATCACCATCAGACAAATCCTCAGAGGTCACCCGAGCTTCACTAAAGAGTGCCCTTTTTCTGAGACACGGCCCAGAAAGATTGATGGAGCTACCACAATTGAGAGCGCAACCGGAGTTGCACCCCAAATATTTTCCGAGATGGCGTTCTTAGTTCGGGAATTGTGGAAATCACTATCAGGGAAATCCGTCCTAGCATCACGCGTTTCGCCGAGATGCGGAATATATTTTATGTCAATCTTCCGAAAAGTCTCTCGTCCTAAATTTACAAGTTTAAACACCAGTTTTCACTCCGCGAATCGATAACTATCCGGGATTGGGATTACACGATAAGGTTTCACAACTCCACACTATGAATTATTCTGACTATGAACAAGAGCTAACTGCAGAATAACCTCGAAAAGATTGGATTATTCCTTATAAATGCCTCTCTTAAATACTTAGTTCCAGTTCTTCTTTTAAGGGAATGTCAAGAACAGCACCGGTACGGACAGAAGATTTTCGCCGCTACGATATGAGAAAGTTAGTTTTAGCGCTGAAGGAACAGCATAGAGTAGTCCAACGACGTTCGATCGAAGAGCTTTACTTATGTGGAAATGTACTCTTCGGACAGCATAACCATGTCATTTTCGACGTTGCCAATATTTATATATGATAAGTTATTGAATGATAATGAAATCGTAAATGTCAGAAGGTTGACTCAAAAAGTGTCATCGAGAATACACCATGCAGAAGGATGATAAAGGCAAAAAAGCGACCACTATTAATTCAAAAAGCACACACCACGCAAAAAAAACTGAAAGCTTCCAATTAATGTGGCACAGAACATGAAGAATTAACCAGCATTCGTGAATTCAGAGAATTTCTGCTAAAAAAGAGGAGATTCGGAGGAATGCAGCCGGAACCTGGCTCACCGTGCTTTTTCCTTAAACACAACTACAAGTCCCCAAGATCATGTTTTTGGAAATGATTGAGTAAGAACAATATGGGGAAATCGCGGAAACGGAAATGCGTATCGTGCTGAGCTGCTATCGCAGAAGTTGGAATCTGAACGTCTGCAACTTTTGGTAGAATTATAAAATGTTGACCTCAAACAATTATCCAAGTTGAATGTCGTCACATAGCAAATGAAGACGACGTATTCGTATGAAACTTCCAAGCCCTCGTCACAGCTCCGGCGTCCCAAAGATACATTCAGTAATCTCACATATAACATGCTGTGCAACATGTGTATGATATGTTTATATAATGTGTAGCACTTGTATCACGAGTCGTCTCTTTGATCAACGATTTCCACGGCTATGTCGAAACTCGTCCCTGTTTTTTGCCAGACTGGCCCAGTGGAACGCTTCCGACCAAGCGTTACGAGGTTTCCTATTCTAATCGCCCGCAGCTTTCATGAAGATCTCTGACCATCTCGCTAGCACCCGTCCTCAAATTCTTTTGACGTGCCGAAGATTCATTCAGTAACCTCATAGTAAGCTGTGTTTGATATGTGTATAGAATGTGTAGAAGATATGTTTGACATGTGTAAAAGATGTGTATTACATGCATACATGTTCTATACATGTTTTATGCATGT